GACGATATTACAGCTGCTGCTGTTCCTTCTGCTTCTGCTGCTTTTCTGGCCTCTTAATGAAACAAAATCTATGTCGTTGATAATGGCACCTAAACTAAACGTCGCTGCTCATAATCTTATTATGTATATATCAATATACCATGTGTGTGTGTGTGTGTGTGTGTGTGTGTGTGTGGCAGCAGAAGCAGACAAGCAGAACATATAGTGTGTAGTATGTGTGAGCATCGGGACCTTCTTCAGGGCTATTAATTGTGCTTTGTGTGGCATACTTAGTGCCTGGCTTTTTTTCTTACTAATCACATGGGCCCAACGACCTGATGTGATGCCAACGACTGGTCCCAGAAATTCGCTGATAACGGGCACGTTTAATGGCCTGCCCTCCCTACAATTCAACAATGCACGCTCGATATAGTGGACAAAGCAAAAGGAAATACCATAATTTATTGCAGCCTGTCGCCTTCAAAAACTCTCTTCTGTGATGGCTGCACTGTATCGAAGAATCAAAATAATTGGAGTGATGTATTTTAAATGTATTCTCAAAATTCTAAACACAGTTCCAGAGATCAGGTACTGAAGAGTTGTCTTTAGTGCCAATGTACCAAGCCTTCTTGAATTTTTTAGTTAGCTCTGATATTAAGGTACGTTGCTTAGTTATAATAATGAAGTACGATAATTAGGTACGGTACTGAAGAACGGTACAAAAATGCGCTTCTGAGGTGTAATACTGAAGTACGATGTTGAAGTACTATACTGAAGACCGATGCTAAGGTACCAAGCTGAATAAAATACTGAGGTACGAAACTGAAGCACAATACTGAGGTTTAGTACAGGTACTGAGGTACGAAACTACTAAAGTGCGATACTTAGTTATATATTTAGGTGTAAAATTGAAGTACGATAGAAATACTTAGATCGAAATCGCAAACAAAAAGTCCCATAAATTCAATGAAGCCTTTTTTCATATGCATGACCAATATTTTCAAACACAGCCACTACTATCGTATATAAATAGGCATACTTTTGCAGCGTTTTATCAATATCGGTTGCCTGCTGTGTATATGGGGTACCACAAGTATACTCGTATGTCCTGTAGATGACATTTTCAGATTTTGACATTATGTTCAACGTTATTGTCTTAATAAATTTCTGAAAAATGTGCAGAGGCGCAAAGCTTGTACAGAATATATATGTATGTGATTCCCCCTGGTTTTGGCCGCAAGCCTACACACACACTGACCTTTAAACTGTTTTCAATTAAAACTGAAAAACAGGCAGAGTATTGTATGGGTGTGCGAGTCTGGCAGGCTTTTGGAGAATTTACTTGTGCAGATGGCATGTGTGTATAACCTGGTATGCACACCACACTCACACACACACACACATACACCCAGATATATAGAAACTATATACCTAGTTGTATATGTGTAGATGGAGCATATGAAAGCAAGTTTCATAAATCACACTCTAAGCTGGGGGAAAAGTGAAAAATCGTACCCCCATTTTAATTAAAAGCGTGTAAAACACGATACCAGACGGACACACTGACACACGCACATATTTACACCATTTCTATGTGTGTGCGGATGTGTGTGTGTGTGTGTGTGTGCAATATTTTTTGGTAAAAAGCCTTGGCAAAGCCCGCCTGAATAATGATTGAAAAACAAGCAAGAAACAGCCGAAGAACTAAACAGACCGTGCTGTTCCCGAAGCCGCTTTCGATGTCTTGGCCAACGAGTTGTATAAACTGTGAAGTTTGTTTAAAATAATTTGCAAGCTGCCAGCGGCAACAACAACTGCACACAGAGACACAGTGCTGGGGAGCCGGAGAGATGGCGAGACGGAGAGATGGAGAGAAGAACAATATAAAGACGGCCGCAAGGAGAAGGAAGCTACTGAGGCGATGCTTTTGTTTACTTACTTGTACGTGCAAAGCTCATTTGTTTTGGGCATCCGTAGACCCGCTCCGGCTCCTGATGCCACCTCCTACCTCACTAATGCCTAGGCAGTCGAGCGGGGAAAGTCTTTAATTTTTGGTCTAATAACAGAGCATTGAAAAGTTTTTGGCAGCCACCAAAACAGGGGCGTTAACAAGCCTGCCTGAAGAAGAAGGAGCGACAAAGAGTGTGCAGCAGGCATTGTTAACTTGCTGTTTATTTGTAAACTACAGCTTACACACTTACCTACACAATACATACATACAACAACTACACTCTCAAAGAGTATGTCTGTGTGTGTGTGTGTGTAGATGGCGGTATGTGCGCCATCATAGTCTTGGCATAATAGCGTTTTGATGCCCGCACATAAACAACAAGACAGCGTCAAGCAATAACGACAGTACAACAGCAACAACAACTACAGAAATAGCAACAGCAACAACAACAATATCAAGAACCGTCTTGGCACAGACACCGACAATAAAATGCAAAGAAGCCAGCTACGAGTTGCCCAAACGCACGTGGCAGCCCCACAATCCGCAACCCTCTCTCTCTTTCTAATTCTCATATCAACTCTCACGACCCCCCTTGCATGGCACCTTCAAGTGCCGCACAGCATGCTAGTTGTCGCCTCAAAAAGGTAACGGTATCGTTAACCTGATGCCTAACGCCTGGTAATGCCTACAAAGCACCATGGGACGAATCAAAAACACTCTCGGGAGCCACAAAGGAAATACAGAGAACAATCGAGAAGAGTTGCTGGAGGATGGCAGATGTGGAGATATCTGATGAGGGTATGCTGACCATCTACCATTGCTGATTAACACGGCCAATTCATGATTGACAACAGACCAAGGAATGCACTCGCATAACAGGCCTACTCACAGGTCACTGCTTAGTATCTGCCCTCGCCAAAAAAGTACACATTACCCCAGAAGATAGAGACAGGGAATGCAAGGAACGCAAGAACACCTCATCTATTCCCGCTCAACACTGGTAGTATACCCCATATGGGTACACCGGCTTCCCTCAAAACAGAATGTTAATCTCCTCTCCGAACTGGTCTCCAATTACCCGATGCCAATAATGACCAACTTGGTCTATGTGGGACCAAAGGCGGTCCATCGATATAAAAAGTTAATTAATTTGTATCCACAAATTATACAAAGAAGTAGACTCATTTAAACAAATATTTTATATTTTAATTTTTTTAAATTAGTTTCAAAATCAGTTTCAAAATATTTTAATAAAGTCTCCACAAATTATTTAAAAAAGTCTTTAAACTAATGTCTATAATCATTCAAACAAATATTTTTAATGTTTTTCTTTTTGGAAATTAGTTTCCAAATATTAAAATTTTCATTTTTTAAAATCAGTTTCAAAATATTTTCGTAATGTATCGACAAATCATATAGAAAAGTCTTTAAGCTAATGTCTTTCAAACTAACTAACATTCAAACAAATATTTTTAAAGGTTTTTCTTTTTGGAAATTAGTTTCAAAATATATCAATTTTCTTTTTTAAAAAAACAATTACAAAATGTATCGACAAGTTATATAGAGAATCTTCAAGCTAATGTCTAGATTTATTCAAACTAACTAATATTTTCAATATAAAAATGTATTCATAATTAGAAACTATTTTCAAAACAAACTGATGTCCAAAAGGTACATCTTCGGTTATTCATCATCACATGAAATTTTCAATTTGGAAAGTGCCTTTTTTGTGTGGCTAGACTGGAGATTTGTGCCACTGTGGGCCGTGTGTTTGCTTTCGTTTAGGTACTGGGCGTAATCGTGAATGCCGCCGCGCAAAGGATTACATAAAAGTACTTATTATGCTGGTAAGCACAACGAGTTGCGATTTATTGTGCGATGTTTGACTGCCGCGTACTTTGGGGGCGGCTTTGAGGTCACGACTGTGCTAAAGTATGGGACGGCAGCAGCAACAGCAACAACAGCAACAACAACAACAGCGAAAACAATAATAATGCGAAGAACAACAGCCAGATAGTTAGCATTAACACAAATGTTGAGCACGGGATCAACGAGCCAAGCGATTTAGTCTAAAGAAAACGCTTGCCATGACAACGCGCCAAACAAACCGGGCGCCCATTTGGGCCTTCGATGAGTTTTAAGTTAAATAAATGGCCGACGAAGGGTTGAGGGCCGTCTCAGAGTTGGTGGCACAGCTAAATCGTGTCAAATAATGTGGGTCAGAGGTTGCTGCATGTAAACAAAACGTTAGGTCGAATGACGCCCATTTTCTAATGAATGTATCATGTTCGTCCTGAAAGATATGCGAATAATTCAATGCTTTAAATACGAAGCATGCAGAGCTGGAATTTCTTTTATGTATATTTGTTTTATCTATCCTTAAACTTAATTCGAGAAAATACCTTGGAAATCCCTTGAATAGAGATTTGCATCAACCTACAATTTCTGCCCTTCAAGAGACGCCTGTTAAAGTTTGTAAAGTCCAAAAGAAACTTAACGTCCTTCGAAGTCAACTCTTGTGTCCAGTGAAAACTTTTCACTTTCTGCCTGCTGCACTCTGTCCAAATTAGTAAATAGCATATGCTAGTGCTAGCTTGAGCTAATGATGAAATAGTTAGGGAAATTTGTTATGGAAAATGGTTCAAATTAATGACCATGGTTGACCAATCAGAAACAGAAAAGTCGTTTTTATATTGATGTCAGAACTTGGTAATTAGATGATGATGCACAAGAAGAGAGATGATGAACAATATAAGCGAAGATGAAAACTGAAGGAGATGATGAGCTATAAGAGAGATGATGATCCACAAGAGGGATGATGATGACCAAAAGTAATGACCAAAATAAGGAAGAAGAGTAAGGATTGTAAACAACAAAAGCGATGAAGAATAAGATAGAAATTGACGAAGAAAGATGATGGAGAATAAGACAGAAGATGAGGGACGAAAACAAGAGAGCTGATATTCTAAGAGAGGCAACATAGGCATAGTTATAAAGAATGCAACGTATTTTGTGATAGTTGATTAAAATAATAAAAAAAAAATAAAATAAAAGTGAATAAAACACATACCCCGGTTTCCATTCCCATAAAAGTGTGAGCATCATCAAAAAACATTCTTCAGTTTGGACTCTAAAAGAAAACAAGGAAAAATATATGTTAATATTTCAAAAATGTCAATAATTTGCAAGAAAACGTTCTCTATTCACTCGTTAGTTTTCACAAATAGAGGCAATTGCGTTAAGTTGTCACATAGAGAACTGTGTCCATCATTTAGCTAATGGCCCCATTATTTAACACGAAATTAATTTAAATTTTGAATGCACAACTCAAACAGGCCTCGCGCCTAGCCAAACAATAAGAGTAGTAATACCAATTACGCATAATTGTTTGCTCGTCTTTGGCAAACAGGAAGCAAGAAGTTTTACGTTCAATTAAATTCTTTTTGATTGCAATGAAATTAAATCGAAATAACGTATACGCACTGTATTCAAATGTGTGTGTGTGTGTGTGTGTGTGTGTGTATTCGACTGTGTGCATAAAGCCGTACATAATGGAATATTTTCATGAGACTGTGCTATTAAAAACACAAATACGCTGAATACAAGGGCGCAAGTTTTAAAGTTATTTTTCTTAATAATTTAAAAATACACATTGTATAAATATGTTCGTCTTTCATGTTTGTAAAATGGAAATCACATAACACGCCGCAGAATTTTACATACCCAACTATAAAAATGCGAACGCAACTTATGGCTGTTGAAATGAAATTAAGATTTCATAAAGGAAAGTAGAGATTCACTCAACAGGTGAGTTGTGGAGGAAACATTCCACCCTGACTGAAACATTCCATCTCGACTTGCTTCATCTATTTTTTTTTTTCCTAAAAAGATATTAATGAAATTATGAGTTTTCGAAAGCTTCCTAAAGTGGAATGTTCATTTATTCCATTCTCGAATTCTTACTTTTAAACGCAATGCTGATTTATTTTTCTTTCAAAGTGAAAATAGCACGGAAGTCCTGTCTGCTTATGTATTTTTCATTGTGGTATATCATCAAATTGTTAAACATACAATTAAAAACATTTGTTTAACTTCTCATGTCCGCCATTTCCCGCATACGCACGTACAAGTCAAATAGCCATAGCCGATGGAGCACAGCTACGCAAGGCTTTAACTCAATAACTAATGCTATTAACGCATTTACAGCCGCTCATTAGACGCATATTATCAGAAATTATCGTGCCTCAGGCGCACATTCACACACATACACGCACACACACACACACACAAACTAAGACAATCTTCTGATATTTTTCAATGGAATTGCAATCAATTTATAGGCAGAGAGTCTGCCTAAAAAGGCTGAGCAGCAATGCCGACAGCAGCTGAGCTCCAACCACTTAATGTCACAATAAAAATGTAACTAACCATGAAAATTACATGTTGCCCAGCAATTTTCTGTTTTGACATTGGTCTGACGTCTGCATAACCCGGCAGCCCTCCCCACCCCGCCCACACCCACCACAAAAAGCCCAGAAACACACACACACACACACACAAAAGGTTTGTCATCGCCATCGTCTGTGCTGGTCTCCTCTGGTCTGCCTTGGTTTGGCGTCGTCTATGCATCCCATGTCCTTCAACGTTGCCAAGCAATTGACCATGGGGGCGGGGAAGCGGGAAAACGGGAGAGGGACACCGGCGGTCTGTAGGCAACCAGCAACTCGAGAAACCTTGTATGGGCGTATGGCGTAAACCAATATTTATCAACAATGTTCGTGTCCGGCGCATGGCAAAACTTCTTAAAATGTTGTAGAATTATTGCAAAAATAAAAAAAAATAAAACGAGGGAGAGAAAAAAATTGAAACGATACGAAACCAACGGCCAGGCCAAGGAAAGTAGCAAAATTTTTCAATAAAATCGACTTTTGTTGGCACTGCCAAATAAAAATGTAAAAATGCCAACGTTTACGTTCTTAGGTGGTTGCTTTCCCCGGTGGTTGCTCTCCACCGCTCATTGGTTTGTTCTATTTTTACGTTTTTCACCATCTTTGCATCGCAATTCGAGTGGAAAATTGACATATGTTTACTTTGTTGTTCTTGTTGTTTTTGTTGTCGTTTCCGTGTTGTTATTATTTTGTGGGGGGCCAGTACCTTTTAGAGCCCATAATCATTAGACATTGCACTGCTGAGGAAAGGTGTCCTCAATTCGGGGAGTCAACTTGCGAGACATTTAATGCCACGCCAGAATAAATAAACGGAAATTAGCATTTGCTCCACTTGACCTCTGTAAAATGTTTTACTTTTCAATTAGACAACAAAATTGACAACTAAGTCAGTCATTGCCCTCGGCAATACATTTTTCTTTGCCTACAAAGTTATTAAATTTCTCCATTAAACGATTGCTTATGGTGATTTATTGGAAAAGGAATTTAAATTCTTTTGCCTAATTAGTTTGTATCGAGTATGCTTCAGTAGGCAATTCAGCAATTATAAAAGAAAATCAGAGTTCGATGCTGAAAATCACATTTACGAATGGTTCTTATTCAAATTTGAAAAGTGAGGAATTACTCTGTTGCTAACCAACTTTAAACGAGCAATATGAGAAATATACACAGAAAATAATGAAAAGTAAGTAAATAGAACAAGTAATAAACATGATCTCTAATTGCTATCTAAAGCTCCAGGCCGATATGAGGAAGCAATATATCACATCTAATTGTCAATAAAGTGGCATGGTTATTAAATTTATTCATTAAATGATTATGTATGATGATTTGTTGCAAAGACATTTACGCTTAATTACTTTGTACTATTTGTCGATAAGTTCTTCTTAGCAAATGTTTAATATTGCTATATTATATCAACAAAAATATTATACGTTTACGTGCTGTATTTTAAATTGAAGGGCAAATATCACTGCTTTGTTCAAAAAGAATAATTTATAATTCACTTGAAATAGCTTATAAGAAAGAAATTTAATTTGATATATGTATTTAAAAATATATTTATATTTCTCTTGATAGGCAATATGTATAGTTTAAGTATTTTAGTTTCAAATTGCAAATATTAAAATTTTTTATCAAAATTTTAAATATTGTTTAAGTGATGATTTGTAAAATTAACTTTATGTTATTGACACTCATTTCCCTATCCAATCAAAAATTGAGAAATATTTTGGGGTTTCCTGTTCATTTGTTCACTTTTGTATGTTTTTATACAAATTCTTCTAGATGTGCTCAAATTCGTTTCTTTCCCCAATAATATAATGAATTATGACCAAAATATAAATAGAGCTGCGTTGGTGGCGTATGCGTAATATTTCTCTCTAATGTTTTGCCAAAGCACAAAACAAGCCTTTAGAAAATGATAATTTTAAATGCGACTTCGAGGAGTGTGATTTATGGCATTTTGTAAGCAAAATCTAAATTTGCAATTCAAGCGAAAGTCGTAAAACGGGCATAGGGAAGCAAAAGTTATTGATATGTAGAAAATGTAACCTTTTGTGTTATTTAAATAAGCGTGTAGCGCAAATGTAAATTTCCGATTTATATGGAGAACAATTGCACTTCCGCTCTGTTGTGCGCTCTATTCATTTTTAACTGCCGTGGAAAAACAACAAAATAACAAATAACAAATATACATAAGTATGCATGCAGAAATTAAATTATTGAAGCGTTTTATTAGGTCTGCAAAATATTTATTAGGCAAAGGTTTACTGTTTAGTGAAACGAGATGGAAAACGGAAAACTGTAAACTCTCTCGCTCTCGCTCTCGCTTGCGCTCTTGAATTTGCCATTCTACTTGGTTAATGTTTGTCACAGCCAAGTAACGGCATAAAGATGTCATTCGCTCTCTCCCTCTCTCTCTCTCTCTGTCTCTCTCTCTCAGGCTCGCTCGCCCGCCCGCACGCTTGTCGTCGCCAGTCTCTTTGGTTGAGAAAGGCCGGCCGTTGGAAACAAATGTTGCTGGCAAGGCCACGAACTACGATTCAATAGGTAGCTTTGATTGCTTTTGAATGGCTACAAGTAATTGTTTGTGTATGTGTGTGTGTGTGTGTGTGTGTGTGTGTGTGTGTGTGTGAGAGAGAGAGTGTTTGTTTGTGTGGGTTAGCTATAAAAGTGCATTGTTTTGCGAAAAGTTGAAAAGTTATGGTGGCGAAAAGTGTTGGACGGCATTGTGAAGTGGCGCCCGAACGCCATAAATGATTAATGGATAAAGTTGTGGTGCTTTTTGATGGCCAAACACTTGTGGTAATTTTATGCTTTTAAAATTAGTCAGCTAAATGCTGTAAATGGGGAATAGAGAGACAATGAAGTCGGAAACATTGAGAAATAGAGAGACTGGGGCGGACAGACTAGCGCATTAATATGGCCATTTATTACAAATTTTTGGATTTTTATGTGTTCTGTTAAGTTGAGTTTTGCAGCTGCAAGCGTTTGCGAGAATGCAACCAAAGTAAATGAAGTGTAAGGACATTGATAGCCAGGACATGCCGGGCCAGCCCAGGCCAGACCAGCAATGGCAACAACCATGACGATGGCTACGAAATCGAATGGAAATGCAAAAACGCATGAGCTAATTTACATAAAACCCAAAAGCAACAAACAATACTAGTTACAAATTGAAAACTTTTGTCTGCCAAGATTGTAAGCGATTGTGTCGCTTCCCTCTATTGTTATTATCAAAGTACACACAAACTAGTAAAAATAGCAAGAAAAACAGTAACAGAAACAGAGACAGACAGACAGAGGCAGCAGCAGCAGCAGCCACAGCAACTGAAACTGAAACTGAAGCTGACTGGCAGACAGGCCACATGGGTGGCGGGAGAGGCTCGCAGGACGGGGGCCGCTGTGACAGGCAGACAAACAATATGAAGCGAGTGCTGAGATATCAAATCGCTGGTACTGAACAGCAACGAACACGAACGAACCGAAGGACAACAAGAATGGAGTAGATGGAACAAAAAAAAAAAAACAGAAAAAAGTATCGACAAGTTTGACGCTTTATGGCATTGTTTAGTGGCGCACATTTCGCCAAAAACGTTTTTCAACTTTCACACAATTGCGCCATTTGCCGCGTCTTATAAGCGTCCCATCGGAAGGGGGGCGTACAGGGGGGCGTGTTG